GGGCTGCGAGCGCACATTGCCGGCTCCTGTCCAGCTTTTCACCCCCCAGGACCCCCAAGTCCTCCTTGGCAGGGCTGCTCTCCAGCCCTTCATCCCCCAGCATGTGCTGATGCTGGGGGTTGCCCTGACCCAGGAGCAGGACCCTGCCCTTGGCCTTGTTGAACCTCATGAGTTTCACACAGGCCCATTCCTTGAACTTGTCCAGGTTCCTCTGGATGGCATCCCACCCCTTGGTGTCATCTGCACAGTAGCCCAGCAGCCCATCTAATGTCACTTTTGCCCACATTACATGAAAACATACTGAGCGAGGGCTTGTCTCTTACAAAAGGTCTGGTGAAGGGCTTCCAGGTCAGACTGCAAGTGGGGCAGGTACTTTGCGCAATTTGGAATCACACAAAGGCAACACGGATGTTTATACAGCAGGAACACAGGTTGCAAGGGCATGAGAGTAGTCCCACAGCATGGCATAAACCCTCCTAGGCCCCTTCTTCGGCTCTTCATGGCAATTCATCATCCCAGATGCCAACATGAAGCTTTTACCCTGTGACAAGACCTATTCTGACATGGCTTATTCCCATCCCTCCTCCATGTTCAGGGCATATCATATGTGGGCTTACTGGCGGAGTGGAAGGGTGTTGGCTCTTCACTTCTGCTTTATATATGTAGACAAGATGGGTAGACATGTACACAGCAGGGAAACAGGGACTGGGCAGGGGAAGGGCTACAAAGAGACACACTATACTATTCATCTCAGTCCATGAAGACTAAGATATACACCCAGATAAATAACCAGTTCTTGCTTGGTTTTGCATTCACTGCCATTAACTGTTCAATAAGTAGGTGTCTTGGCCTGCAAAGACTTGCGGGATGAGCACTGGGAGACGTTCTGCTTCTGGCAGAATGGTTTTTTTGAGTAACGTGTCCTGCACTGCATGTCTTGAGGCCCCAGACTTTGGGCAAGGAACAAGCACATACTGAAAAGGGCTTTGACATGTCACAATCTGCTCTGGTTAATTAACAGGACTGTTGGCAAAAGCTCAGCAATTGGACTCTGAATAACAAACCAGTGGGGAAAGCTGCCAAAAAGTCACTTTGGTGACAGAGGTTGTTAATAACAAGGGAGAAAAAGCCTGAAATGGAGAGGTGAAAACACAATAATATTCCCTGGGGAAGATGCCATCCTCATCTGGTTGAGGGGGCAGAAGGAAAACATTGCTGCCTGCTTGATCCAAACAAGTGCAGTTTTCCACGTAAGAAACAGGAGTTTCTGTGGACCTTTGCAGTAAGTAACAAGGCAGTACCAGGAGTTTGTTCGGGCTTTTGCTTTTAAAGGAGTCGATATTTCCAGAACAGTGAACAGGTCTCTTGGTCCTCTGAATGGAAATCTTACCTTTTGCTGGGTCACCAAGCGTGGAAATAGAACTGCTGTTTACACGGAGGCCTGTCTGACACACCTCTTTTGCCTTCAAAAAAAGAGACAGCCTCTTTTACCATCTATTTTCAAAGATAAGGGACAGAGCTACTGAAATCTGCAGAACAACAGATTTCAGTACATTTCAAGCAAATACTTGCAACAGGCAAACAGATCGTTACAGTCCCAAAATACCTGCAGTGTAAAGAAAACTGAACACAATGTCCACAGGAAGAACCAACAGGAAGAAAATTTGTTGTTTCAGTTACTAAATACTTGTATTTATTGAGTGTTGTCACAAAAATCTCCATGGAAGCAAAAGCCTAAAAAAATCTGGAAAAAATGCAGCATCTTCAGAAACAACTGCAAGTGCAAAGCTGGGCTTTGCACTTTATCTGCACGAGCAATATGTGGAAAAATAAATGCAATGGGGCTGGCACGAAGGCAAAGCACATTTGCTACTCTCTACTCACTCATCCACAGGCACAATTGCTACACCTTGGAAGCATCTCACTGGCTTCGATTTAATCTACGTCCAAAGCAGATTAATCAAAGTGTGAAAAGTCCAAATATATATTGACCAAAGAGTGACAACAGGAGCAGTTTGAACTCATTATGGGTGACAAATAAAAGCAAACAAGTTGAACTGCAGTCAGTCCCTTTATAAGCAACATGGGGCACTCATCCCATGTAACTTCTGCCTCCTAAAAAGCAAGTGTCTCGCTTAGACTAGCCAGCTAGGCTTCTCCTCTGAACAGAGAGAGAAGCACCTCCAGAGAGCGATTTAGCTCAAGGATTTCAGATGCCTGCATTAAATGAGGTCCAGCTGTCCTCTGGAGAGCTCCCTCTCTTTCCTAGGGTCTGTACAAGGAGCTCAGTCACTTGGCACAGGCTGTGCTACATTTCAAAAAGCCAAAATGAAGCGGGACAATTCCCGCTCCCAAACTGAGGCTGAAAGTGGTTTATTTTGCTGTAGCTCAATCCAAACTGAAGAGAACTAAACTGCATTCAGGCCACTCTCATCCTGAACAAACCATCTGTGCTGTCATTTAGCATGGCATCATTAAGTCACATTAAAAGTGAATTCCCACTAGATTACCTGCGCGTCCTTATGTAGACAAACTCTTGTCACAAAATCAAAAGCATCTTTGTGAAAAACAGGCAGGAATAACTTTCTCAATAGCTGTGTCAGGTTCTCTCTCCACCTAGCTGGCAAAACCAAGGGAGCTTGCCCAAAACCACCTGGCAAACTCCTGTCTTCTGTCACAAAGGCACTTTTCTAAACATACATGAAAGGTTTCACTTGCCTGTACTTGACCATAAATCTACTGGGACAAAGGGAGACTCCTTCCATCTCCCTGTAGAGGGCAAAGGAGGCAGGCAAATCTAAACCAGTAATTGACTGGAGAGACGCAAAATAAGATCCATCCCTAAAGAGTCCCAGGAGCTGCTTTCAGAACTTGCTCTGGACTTTTTACACAGGAGTAAGTGCACTGGTAACTGGGGTACAGAGAGCCAGGGCACTTCAGTCAACAGATGTGCTGGGCTTTGGTGGGACAGAGCACGGGTGCAGGCACTTGGCATCAAACTTCTCAAGCTGAATAAACATTTCAGGTTACCTTTTCTTCATTATCAAACAGGAGAAACGCAAAGGTCTCCTCCAGCTCCTCCTGGCTGTAACTGGCAGCTTCCTTTGCTTGGGCAAAAGCTTTGAGCTGCAGAAGACACAAGAATACTTTGTTCTAGTCCGTTCATGCCAGAGCCAAGTGACATGTGTTCATGGTGCGAGGACAGCATGTCCCAAGTACCTCCAGTCACGGTCAGTATGGGGTAGCTGGCAGCAGCCAGGTGATGCTGGACCAGCTCATGTGTCTACACATCATTCCCTCCCCCAGGCACGTGTACACCCAGCCTCCCACCACAAGGCCCCCAATCCACGCATCTGTCTGTCTGTCTGCCTCTGGCCCCAAAAGAACATGTTCAATGGTCTCGAGGGGACAGCAGGCACATCCAGCCCCGCAGCGTCATGCTGTGCTCATCCCAGGGAAGTACAGCCTTATTCCACCTTGCCCCTCTTGCCACACATCATCAGCTACTGAGGAGCTTGTTTCACTGAGCAGCATGTGGGCTGGTGGAGCATCACATTTAGTAGCCAGCTATGGCCATCAGAAGACAAATCATCTCAGCGATGGAGAAGATGCCTACAGAAGGGGAGCTGCTTGGAGGCACCTCTCTTTTTCTCTCTCTCCACTGACCAGGGAAGCCTAGACTTATTTGACTAGAGGGCAGGTACTATCATGTGACTATAGCTCAGAGGGTTTGGATACAGTCAAATAACACATTAGTCCAATTTCTTTTGTCTGATAATTAAAGCAGAGCATGTTCTCAGTGCAGACAGGGAGGACATCATGGGAGCAAACAGAGCTGGGTCTGAGTCCATGATGTTTTGGGGCTTTAATAAAAGAAGTTGTAGAAGGATGGGATTTTTTAAAGAGGGCTAGAAGAAAACAACAATCTTCATCACTGCTTTTGTTTATTTTGGCTTGAGAACTCACAGACAAATCAACAAATTACTTGATACCTGCTTTCCCAGTTTTTTAACCAGTTCCACAGTGACTACCCCAGATTTAGGCAGGCAAAATGTCTAAGCTCTATTTAATTCATGACAAAAAGCAGACTGGTCATCTCCAGTCCCCAGAGAAGACAGCCTGTCTTCCACACCAATGACAGCGGGAGTCTAGGCATGAAGGCATTTTAAAAGTGGTTCCATATACACCCCAGTCAGCTGGAGAAAGGGAAACAAGGTTAAAACTGGTGCCTACACCAGTGTGAGGGCAGGCAAACAAATATATGGAAATCTGCCTTGCTGTGAATCAGCACATTAAAAATCTCTTGCTAGGTATCAAACCAGGGTTTCAACCTGCCCCAAAGGTCTGCTCCAGCAACTGCTGTTGAATATTGGGCAACACCAGCTGAACGGACCCTTTGCTCCTGATCAGATTGGGAAGGAAGAAATGCAAGAAAGCAAAGGAAAGGCTCCCTTCAGTCAGGAACTGCAAATGGGGCTCTATGAAGCAGGCAGATCAGCCGCGTGCTGCAAAGGAAAGACAGACCTGCCAATAAACCAGCATTTAGAGATGTCTGCAGCTCTGAAAGGAATGCTGCCTTCTCCCGAGCTGCCAGCAATACTCTGCTCCCCCACCAGCCTTACCTCACTTAGAAAAACATCATTTTCCACCAGAATTGCTTGGCTGTACTGAAAACCGTCCTGAGATGTAGAGTACAAGTAGGAGCTCTGCAGCACCGAAACTGCTGTCTGCAAAAGGGAATGTGACTCTTCCGACTCTGGATGAAAACCTGGAGGAAGAAAGCAAAAAGCAGGAGTAAATATTAAGGCTGGGCAACCCCAGATGAGTATGGGGCCTCAGCAGAGGTGGGTGGCTGCTGAGTGTGATTCACCACACACGGGCCTCATTTAACAAGCCCAGGTTTCCACAGAGCTGCTCCATGGCTCCCATTGGGAGCAGCAGCTCCCCTCCAGCCACGCAACCCCCAAGTCTTTGTCTGCAAGTTAAACTGCCCTTTGGCAGGAGGAATAGGAGCTCCCCGTTTGCCAGTAAGCCCTTAAAGTTTTTCCATTGCAACAGTAAAAAAGAGAATAAATTTTTAGAAAGTGCTAGAAGCAAAACCTGGTGGTAAATTAACTTCATGCTGAGCAGGCCAGAGTTTTCTCTTGTACTAAAAAGTTACTTAGATTCGTTGTGCACTGTCTTAGAGTGTGAGAGTTGATGTCTGCACACAGGGAAAATCTCCATACACGCTCAGTTTCTCAGGATTATCTGTTTTTCTATAAAGATCTTCAGGTCTTGAGTGAATGTGGTTTTCAATACCATGAGAGCAAGCCTTCCTTCAAAGCCTCAACAGGCAGAGCTTTCTCAAAACCCAAATTCTCTTAACATAGCCAAAGGAAAATACTCCCAGAAAAACACTTCCCAACACATCCCACCAAGAAAAGGTCCCAGAGCAGTTGAAAAATTAGATATGGGTGCAGAAACAAAGGAAAGCCCTGCTGTACTTGTGCTCTTGCAGCTGTTACAACCCAAATATTAAATAAACCAACCACTTCGAAACGCAGGAAATCCTGGGCTCAGTCTCTGTTGCACATTTTAAAACCTTTATTACTGATGGTGATTCATGAGCTACGAGATTTCAAATCCCAAGCTGAGTTTGCAACATAGACATGCTGAAAGGTTTATTTCTTCTGACCCATAAACTTCAGAAAACAAAGCAGTCATCTATAAGGAAAGAAATGTAGAACCACCGAACCCCACCCAAAGAACAGGTTTTGCATGCCGGTCGCTCTCGAAGAAAAACCTCACCGAAATTTTTGAGAATAGCTAAGTTCTCGTTTTAACCTCTAAAACAGAAAGGCCCATGTTCCTTTGGTGATGAGCAAGACAGCATCGGTTGTCACTCTGCAACCTACTTGGGGTTTTGACTCCTATTTTTAAAGGGTATGTTTTGATCAGGTTTTTTCCTCCCCTCAGCTAAAAAGAAGAAAAGACGGAATCATTCCCCATATCACAAATCTTGTTATTCCTCCCAAATTACCCAAGGCCAGAAAAGGACCTAATACAAGGAACAGAAAAAATAACAGTTCAAATTGCCTGTATTAAACTCCTTTAGCTGCATTGCTCTAAGCCAGTTCAGCCAGGGCGCACTATGGGGCTTAACAGGGCAAGGGAGACAACATCTGCTTTGTGCCAAGCAAAAGACAAACCCAGACAAGGCAAAAAGTGGGGGGGAACCAAAAACAGTTCTAAGAAAAGCATGTATGGTGGGAATTGAAGCTGGGAGCACAGAAAGAAAAGTCTTAAAAAGTACTTTTGCCTCTCTCAACATTGCTCTGGGGTCTTTTGTGCCCTCTTGGATTCACTTTCTAAACCTCCCACTTTCAGGTGATGCCTCTCTAATCATGAGAAGCAGCAAAAAAAAGCAGGTGAAAACAATTTGGCTGTCAAATGCAGAAAAATGAAAAATAAAGAGGTCTTCCAGCTCTCCCTCAGTATTATTGCTCTCTCTGTTTGAACCTAATGAGGATAGGAAGGGATGTTAAGTTTGCTCACTTTTTTCCTCGTTTGTCTTTCGTTTTGCTTTGTGTCTCTTGCATCCCGTGGATCTCAAAGAAGCAGTCAGGGAACTCAGATTCCTCCACGGAAAACAGATCAGGGAATTACATCCCAGCTCACAGCTCTGCTCAAAGGCTTGGACCAAATATAACATCCCATTTTGCTTCTTGCTGGTGCACCAGAATGCTTGTGTCTGGAGTCATCCTCCGAGGAGAGACAGCCCTGTCCTCAGCATCTTCTCCGCCAGCCTAAACAAGCCCAACTCCCTCGACTGCTCCTTATGTCCCAAAAGCACAGGACTGCAGCGGGTGCTATTTAATTTCAGTGCTGCTGCTCCAAACCATCTCACTTCTCAGGGGGCAATATTCTGCTCTTCCTACTGATAGCTCCTCACAACTCTGCATCATCAAGTTGGGGGTCTTGGAGCATGAGAAAGTCCATGTCTCAATGTGCAAGCTGGGAGCCAGTCACGTGTTTCCACGTACAGTACGTGAGACACCGAGTACACAAAGAGAGACTGCAGGGTTAAAAACCCTGCCGGGCACAGAACACATATTCAGGGTGCAGGGTGTTAAATCGGCAAGAGGACTGGATATTCAGTATCTTTCAGGGCTAAAAGCTGAAGGCTTTAAAAAAAAAAAGTCTGGGAAGCTCTTGGAAATGCAACATAAACATCAATTTTGCAGGCGATTAACTCAGACATTTGTTGCTCCCTGCAAGTTCATCTGCGGTGTAAAAATGAAAGTCCAAAAGGGGGGGAAAAAACAGTTGCTGTAGTAATACATAAATACATGAGATGAAACAGTGTGGCACTGAGCCTGGCAGCTTGCTGTGACCCTCATCTGCCCTTTCAGATTTAAGGGGTTCCTTCAGATCTCTTCCCACCCAAAGGAAGAGTCTGGGCTCACAGAAATACATGCAAAACCCGGCCACATCCAGGTTTCATTTGTGGGAGCAGAAGGTCCTTGACAGTCTCTGCGCAGCCTGTGAGGAGGTGAAAGTGAAAGTACCTCAACCAGAAGTAAAAGTGAAAGTGTCCACTCCTCTCTGAGCAGCTTGGACATGCCACTACCGCCACGCAGCATCCTCAGGGAATGGGACTGGCTTCTCGCACGGGTCAGTCGGACAGCAGAGACGCATCGCAGGACTGATGGCCAGAGGAGAGCTGGAGAAACCCGGCACAGCTCTGCACCAGCACAGCCCAGCTGAACCCACACTGGGTGTTATCCGTGCCCTGAAATCCTCGGGGAGGGGATTCACAGCCTGTCCTGGTGATTTCCTACCCTGATAGCAAGGGAGAAAAACCAGTCGCCTTTGCAGCTATTAACACCAGTTGCCAATGCTGCAAGGAAGGCTGATCTTTCCCTCGTGCTGCAGCTGTGCAGAAGTCATCCTCCAAGTGCCTTGCATTCCTCGGAAGGCTGCTAACCTACTCCGTCCTCCTCCTTTTCTAGACTCAAAGCCAGCTCCTTTGACCTTTCCTCCCTGATCACGCCTGCAAATGTCTCGACGTGCCCTGTTCTGTCCTTTGCAAAGCGTTGGCTAAAGCCAGCCCGAGTGGACGTGCACGGCCCATCCGCCTCGCAGGAGCTGCACGCCTTTGCTCCCCTTTCCAATGCAGGGCTCCTGCCGGTGTTGGATGCCCATCAGGAGGGCCAAAGGACACATACTTCCCCAAAACAGGATCCTCTTTTGGCTCATCCATTTTCATGTGACCTCTGGGTGGCCTCACCACACAGAGACTCCCAAAGCCAGCCCGGAAGGAAAACTCACGGCTCTCTAACCACTTACTTGTACACACTTGTATAGAGAAAAAAGTTTGCTTTTCTTCCCAGTCTTTTTTTTTCTTTTTACCTTAAAATTTTAGTAGCACTTGCTGCAGACACTTGAATGCTGCCAAATCTCCAAAAGTCTACAACTCAGCATGGTCAACGCGCACTGAACACAGCCACGCAGAATCACAGAATGATTAAGGTTGGAGAAGACCTTTAAGATCATCAAGTCCAACCATCAACCCAACACCACCATGCCCACTAAACCATATCCTGAAGTGCCACGTCTACACGTTTTTTGAACACTTCCAGTGATGGGGACTCCACCACCTCACTGCTCACCTATGGGGCTTTTGACCTGTCCTCGGCACCGCTGCTGCTGCACGGTCCCTTCCCACAGCCCTTCTCCATCTTGCCTCTCTTCAACTGGGATTTCCTCCGTTTTCCTGGCTTGGTCACATCATTAGGATGAGCTGTAACAGCAGGCATCACTGGCAGTGGCAGTTGTGGCACCACCACATGCCACTTTGTACTGTCAACAGTTCATGTACTGCCAGCTGAAACTCCTTCAGATCATCCTCCCAACTTCTTTGGCTCTGCTGAAGTCCACTTTTTTTTTTTTAATCTCCCATCCTGATTTTGCTGCTCTCACTTTTTAGTTTTAATTTCTAATCATCTCTAGCACGCAGTAATTATGACAATTATATGAACTCTCCCTTTTAACTCTGCATTATAAAACCCACGGTACTACATACTTGACCAGCTATTTACCTGCAAACTTCTTTTAGCTACACCCTGCTGACGGAGCAGCCACAAAGGTGACCTAGTAAACATACTGACGAAGAAGGATGTTTCTTTAGCCAGGAGTCCTGAGACATCCCTGGTAAGCTCAGCCAAAACCTCCTTGATGGGGAGCAGTTGGCAGGACAAAGAAACCAAGAGAATGAACTGACCTTCCAGGAAAACAGAAGTCAGCAACAACTATTCTGGGAACTGATGACGTACGCCCACTCATGTCTCTACACAAAAAAGGTATAAAAAGTAACTCACTACCTACCCAAAATGAGCTTCTCTGCAAGAACTTCCCTGTATGAGATCTCCCAGGCAGCCCAGACCCTTGCCAGGGATGCCTGGCTGACTCTGGACTCAGTGACCTGGATCATCTTTGAAGCAAAAGTTTTCCATCACTAACTGGCCTCGCTCCTGGCAGCAGTTTCACAAGTGTCACACTGGTGATGCCTCACATAATATATTTATAGCTGCACAAATAGGTAAAGGTTAAGTACATACTTGCTTCGCTAGCTGGAATTCTGTAATAACTTGTAATATATATATACACGCACTTGCTTTCTTAGTATAGTGACTTGTAGTATATATTTATATATGTATATATTTGTTTTTACTAATAGTAGTTTTGTAGTAATTTGCAATGAAGAAATTATTGGCTCATTACTGC